GTTATTTAGTCAAGACGTACACAATAGGTACTACAACGCTTCATTTCATAAGCTTTTAATTGATATATAACATAATTTCATTGGACTATTGAAGAAATATTTGAGTATAACTGAAATTCTTACACAATTCCACCTAAAAATGCTAAAGTGCTTTCTTTGTAAATAATATTAATAAGTCATATTTTGGAATTTATTATTTGGATCATACAACCAACAAATTCCATAGTGGAAATCCCTATTAAAGTAACCATTTTATTATTGTAACCGTCTACTTTACTTTAGTCTGATCTCGCATGAACTAATCCATTGTTTCGATGACACTAGACGAACATTCAATAAAAAATGCATTATCTAATGTTGGGATAACAATTCCACTGTCGATTTAAAAAAGCTCAGCAATTACTTTGCTAGTGAATATAAAAATGTAATGGCATTTCGCGATAACGCGGAGTAGCATCCTCCTGTTCATACTCATCTTTAAGACTTGATTCAAATGCATTAAATTTTCTTTATTTATATCGAAAGCTATGTCCGTCTTATTTCAGTCACTACAATATTGATTTGAAATCTCTCAGAGAAAAAAGTTGCGATTAAAAAATTTCTTTACACTTTCTTTAAATACTCTAAAGGCACAAATTTAAATAACGTATTTACTGTGAGAGTAAATAATACTTTCACTTTTCAACATTCAAAACTACTAATGGAAGTACCTAGTAGGCGTTGCCAACTTATTCTCCAACTGCAATAGTAATAGCAACAACAATCAAATGATATTGTTCAATTTCTACATACAGCGAGTACTAAATTTCTCTTCTAAAATATTCAACGACTCTTTTAGTTTTCAAATTTTAAATCTTTTGAGAGTTTTCGCGATAACCTCTATAACCTAGATTTGGAGGTTTATGTATAATATAGCAACAACAACAGCAACAAAAAGAAAATAATATAAAAACCAACAAAACAATTTATAAACAATAGCTAACAATGCAAATTTTCAACATTTATACTAAACAGTTTGTAATTAATTCTCAAATAGAACAGAAGCATTTGGTTTTCTTGCAGTATAAAAATAAATAAACATTTAATTTAATTAATTGAGCTAAAAGTGAAAATGACGATTTTCAAAATATTTCAAATAACGTTCTTATCTCTTGTCGGTTTAATCTTGATAAATGGAACGCCCGTCGCTATTGACGAGTCTAATCCCGAGCATATTAAGAAAATACGCTATGCTAAGGTAGCAGAAATGCATAATTATATAAATGCATCAGCAGATCCCTGTGAGAATTTCTATAATTTTGCCTGTGGCAATTGGGAAAAAATTAATCCGGCCAATTCTCAAGATCACATAACGACAGGTTTCTTTGAAACCATGATAAAAGCTTTGGATCGTAAAATTTCTGCAATGCTTGCTAAATCAGATGAATTGGACAATGAAATCGATAAGAAGGTCAAGAATTTCTATGAATCATGCACTCGGATAGGAGTGTTAAAGAACATGTACAAATCGAAACTGCAAGAAATTGCAGAAGAATTTGGTCAAGTGCCCGCTTTAACGGAAGATTGGAATCAGAATAATTTTGATTGGATAGATGTTATTGGTAAAATTGCCTACAAATACGGCAGCTCCATTATATTGGGCTATGATATTATGGGTGACTTTCGTAACAATTCGGTAAATAGAATATATGTGGGTCATCCCGACTTTCCCCTCGAATCCAAGTCCATGTATGTAAATGAAGATAATGCTCATTATCGCAGTAGCTATAAGAACCATATATCGGGTGATTTGCAGCACTTTTGGGATTTGAAAAAGGAACAGGCTGATATAGTGGCCGGACAAATTTTAAATGTAGAAGTAGCTTTAGCCAGTGGCATAGCAGATGATAAACTGGGTCTACAACTGGATGAGTTGACCAGTTTGACAACATTGGCCGAGCTACAGAAGAAATACAAACCCCATTTGGATTTTGTTAAACTATTAAATATTTCACTCGGCACTTTACCCCCCATGTCGGAGCCTCTATACGAAATGTTTTCGGACTATCAAACGAATCTTATAAAAGTCCTGGATGAAACACCCAAAGAGCATATTGCTAATTATATTTACTACACCCTACTAAAAGATTTCATGTTGCGTACGCCCAAAAAGAAGGAGGACTTGCGATCGAAATGTATTTCAAACACTAAAAAACATTTTGCCAAAAATCTCGATAACATGGTCTATCGCAAATACAATACAAATCAAACGGAAAAAGATGTCAAACTAATGTGGGATGAGATAAAGTTTAACTTTAAAAATATGTTGCAGTCGCAACAATTGGACTGGATTAGCGCCAAAACACGTAAATATGCCGAAGAAAAACTGGATGCCATGAAACTGGAAATAAATTCCTATGAAAATGAAGATTTTGCTGAAGAATTTGGTGAGCTGATATTATATAAACACGACTATATAGCCAATCTTAAGAACATTATGATTTTAAATGCCAAAAATGAGAGAAAAGCCTTATATGAACCACCCAAACCTTTGGAAGCAGGAGAGTTGCTATCCTATACTCCGGCCAATATTATAGTAGAAAATCGTATTAAAGTGCCCGTTTCATTATTGCAGCCCTATTATCTGTGGTCTACCTTTTACCCAAATGCTCTGAAATTTGGCACTTTGGGCACCCTGATATCGCATGAATTAATTCACGGTTTCGATGACACTGGTCGAACATTCGATAAATATGGCAATAATATCGAATGGTGGGATAACAATTCAACTGCCGCTTTTAATGAACGCAGCAAATGTTTTGTCAATCAATATCAAAAATACGTTTACGGTGGTAAAAATTTACCCGTAATGGCCTCACAATCGGAAAATATTGCTGATAATGGCGGCTTGCACTTGGCCTATGAAGCCTATTTGTACTGGTACGAACATGCCGTACGCATTAATGAACCTATGTTATATGAAACTTTGCCTCGTCTCAATTACACTAGCAAACAATTGTTTTTCATAAGTTATGCTCAACTTTGGTGCAGTGATGCTCATCCTGCTGTACGTAATCTACAGACCGCCATCGATTCTCATGTACCTGGTAAATTTAGAGTTATAGGACCGTTGTCGAATTTTAAAGAGTTCTCCAAAGTATTCAATTGTCCTGAGGGTAGTCCAATGAATCCGGTTGATAAATGTTTTATTTATTAGGGTAAAATACCAAAAAAATGGAATTGTTAATAAATTTAAATGAAAACTATTTTTATAATTAAAATTAATTATGTAAATACATAAATATTAAAAAAAAATAAAACATTTTGTTATAATTAAGAACATTGAAGGAAATACATAGTTTTGGCATTAAAAGAAGAATTCGCATAGAAATGATTTTTAAAAGAATTACGATTTCGCAAAATTCAAGAAATCTAAATTTGCACCATTATTTGTATTTATTTCGCATCCTAACATATAATTCTCATTTAGTTAAGAATATTTTTGCAATAACCTCATTGATCAGTCTTATTTTCATCTTGAATGAGGTTAAATGAATCCAAACATTCTCATAATGGGTAAATTGTAAGATCACTTTGACCCAAAAAACACTTAAATTAGGTTTTTCGTACTTAAGCGAACCTTACTTAAACCAAATATTTGTACTTGGTTTAAGGAAAACCGTACTTCTGAAAGTGCTCCAGATTGATATGAGTTAAGATAACTCAATTCTTTTTTTAGGTGTATCAGGGTTTAAAAATATTCAAAAGAAATTATAGTGGAAACTGGAACTTAAGCGGGTTATAAAATGTGTACAGAAAATGGGAAACAAAAGTTTCAAATATATTTTAGAAGGTTAATGGCTATACACAATCATCGAACGTGTCCGATCGTATACCAGACATAGAATATGTCGGAAACTTTGCATCACTAATCCCAGATAGAATGCGTAACATTATAGCAAATATCCGTAGGAATCCGTTGCTACACGGATGGCTCTAAGTGGGAAGATCTAGAAATAGAAATATGTATACAACCGTTCACCACACACAACACTAGCTTCTAGGCAGAAGTCCGAGCAATAACATAATGCGTAAATTGGATTATAATAAATATGGCGCTAAAAGGAATCAACATATTTACCTATGGCCAGAAGGCAATTAGGACGATATCAGATGATAAAGATAAATCTAAGACCTTATTGGATTGTAAAAAACGGAATACTCTCCCAGAGGCAAGGTCTACATCACATGGGTACCAGGCCACTCGGGAGTAGTCGGCAACGAAAGAGCTTATGTAGTAGCTTTAAAGGGAAGAGAGCTCGATGTAGTTAACTTAACGAACGCAAAACCATTCGACGCAGTGAGGGCAGAATTAAAAATATGGGTGAGAGAAGCCCATAAAGACTCTTGGAATAATAAAACTGGTTAGAACCGCAAAGATCCTATGAGATTGACCCTAACGAGAGCAGGACGAATGGTCTTCTCAAAATGAGCATGTCTAAGGTTATATGAGTTTATACATAGGATGCGGATGAAGACGAATGTAAAGCATGTGGAGAGGACAGTGAAACTCTGAGGCACTTTCTTTGCCATTGACGAGCTTTCGCCGAAATTAGATCCAAATATCATGGGAGAGATATAATTTCGGATATAACAACCCTCTCCCACTGATTGAAAATTCTTAGGAATTACGTCCAGGAAACTAAGTTTCTGACCGTCGGACGGTAATACATTCAGTGAATACTAATAAAGTTTTTGTGTTTACTAAGAAACCTTTTCCATGAAAAGGAGCGAACAACAGGCCCCTAGGATTTAATGTACCCTAACCTAAGGGTTTAAAATGCTAATACTAACACATCAACATTTAAACTCATGATTTTAATGCGGGAATGCCATTGGAGGCAAGTACTTACCCCAAACGCATACAAGTAATAAATAAAAGTAGTCAATGTAGTTATGGAATTAGGTCAGAGAATGTACTATGTGGAAAAAATACAATTTTAAAGGAAATCTTCACTTACCATGTGTTAAAATGTTTATAGTTTCGTTGTGCCAATAAAACAGACTTAATAGGCAGCCCTTGAATGTTTGCAATGGACGGTAACCCTTAAGAACATACGGATTGAATTGCAAATATTGTGGCATGTCCTGCCACTGCAATAGTTCGGCTTCAACTAAACCGGAAATTGACAAATCTTTTATTTTCGACTCCGGTGATGATGGCGAAGGTGGTGCGGAGGAGGAGGCGGAGCAAGATGATGCCGTTGGTGAGGATGCTGAGGATGATGATGATGACGATGATGGTGTTGATAATAAGGCAGGTGTTGTTGTAGCAGATGCAGGTGTATTAGATGATGTTGTAGATGCTGATGATGATGAGATTAAGGATGATGATGAAGGTGTTGAGGGTGTGGTTGCAGCTGTAGCTGGTGTAGTAATTGACAACGAGGTAGTAGATGATGAAGACATTGGTAATGAATTAGAAGACAATTCCTTTTTATTATTTGTTATTGTTGTTGAGGAAGTGTTTTCGAATGGAAGCATTTGATTTGTTAATAATTGCATATTATTACATTCCCTATATTTTTTGCCAACTTCAGCAGTTGCATCAGGCATTTTTGCTACCGAATTACTAGCATTTCCCTCTCGGCCGCCACCTTCAACTGCAGTTGCATCAACGGCAACCTTAAGATTTTCAATATTGTCTTCAAAGATGTCTTGATCTTGGGATTCCTTGTCCTTGAAAATATTACCATTACGCTTGAGTACGGGCGTTGCAATCACAGACGATGTCGTTGATGTAGAATTCGATGCAGTTTTTGATGACGATGATTCCGATGAGGTATTTGTTTGTTTGTACGTATCCTGAAGAGGCGTGGGAATGGTGATAGTGGGCAGACCATCGTCAGCAGTTGCCAATTTTGATGATTCTGCCTTAAGTAGTTGACTGCCCTTAGAGGGTGAAGCCTGAGGTGAGGGTGATGGTGTTGCGGACATACATTCCACATTACTGCCCATATATTCGGCTGCATCTATAAGATGTGATAAACCATTTTTAGTAGCAGTGATGGCACTATCCTTAGTACCACTGTTGGTGTTAGCTGTTGTTGTATTAACACGGTGTCTTAGAATATTTCTATTTTCCGTTTCCGGTGTTGCCTGCATTAAAGAATGCGGTTGTTCTTGGTGGTAATGATGGTGGTGATGTTGTTGTTGTTGTGTCATCGTACCGTTAGTGTTATTATCATTTTCGGTTGTTGTGGTAGTGATGGTGGTGCTGATTGTTGTTGTATTGCTGCTGCTGCCATTGCAATCGACAGCAGTTTGCATGTTTTATCACGTTTATATATGTTCGTTTTTTGTTTACAAATATTCGTAGCGCAAAACAAGGCAACTGTTTGGAGTTGTTTTTGAAGTAATGAATTTCTTTAACTTAAGAAAATCTAATTATTTTACAGATAACGGAAGAATCGTCGTTAGTTTATTGCTGAAATTAAATAAAAATTATTTTTGTTAATTTATTATTGTTTAACTGGCTAAGTGTTTAATGGCTATAAAATATGTTTTTAATGTTTTAAATTTTCTTATTTTTTAGTTTAATTTATTGGCAAAAAAATTATTTTTATATGATTTTTTGTTGTTGCTATTTTAAATGTTTATGTTCGTTTTATTTGTGATATATCACGTCCAAACTATTAGCTAGTTTTTATTTATTTTATGTGTTTGTTTGCAAATATTCGAAATGCATATTTAAGTGACAAATTAAATTTTTTAATTTAAATTCAAATTCATATTAAAAAACATTTCAAATGAAATCATTATTTTCATTTTAAAATTGTTATATTTTTAGAGAAACAGTTTAATCGTGAAAATATTTTTTATAGAAAATATTCAATATTAAATATTTCGTTAAAAAAGTAACTTTCTTTATAACAATATTTTTATATTTTTAATATAAAGTATAAGGTCACTAGGACTAAAAGACCAAATGTGGAAAATTCTTGTGTGAAGCGACTTTTTTATTTCCATTTTCGTAATCAACATACCAATTAATACTGGGTTTAGTGAAAATTATTTAAAAAAGTCTGTGTAATCTTTTTAACAATTTAATTTATTTATTATTTAACTTTATTTCATTTTTAAAGTAATTATCTATATTAAAGATTAAATGTTAATACATTATTCTTTGCTTAATACCTCATTCCATAGTGGTATGTATGAATTTTGTAAATAATCCAGCAAAAAATCAAATGTTTCACCTTAAAAACGACAAGTTCATTATTAATGGATTCCATGCATTTACTACTACGTTCTTATTTCTTTTGCATGACTTTTTTGCTGGGTAGTTTTTAAATAGCAAAAAGTTTTCAATTACAATTCAATGGAAATTTCTAATTAAGTATTAAATTACAACAAAATTTCTAATAAACAGATTATTTTGACTAATTGCAATTATATATATATGAGCGCATGTACATACATACTATGTACGAGAGTATTTTTAAGCATTTTCTGTATATAAAACGAAATCTACTTTTATTTTTGTCTTAAAGAGGATATGCAGCTATGTTCATCTTCCTAAAATGTTCATACAATCTTCTATAATAATGAAAACATTTTTGGAATTATTACACTATTACCATAATCCGTAGTTGTAATTCAAATCGGCGGGGTCAGAAGGTCGGCGCTGCACCTCCCATTATAGCAAGAATTACTTCATTTAGTAGAAATAAAAATGGGCGGGTTATGAATAGTGGGCGTGTCATAGTCTATTTTTAATTAATATCTAGAATAAAACGAATACCCAAAATGTGCACGAGTAAGTTCATTTCCATTTTACATAATTTATACGAAAATGGAGGGTGTGGCAACCCCTACGATATTCCATATATTTTGAAATGTTTAACTGTTAGACTATATCTTCTGTAATTAAAATAAAGTGGGTGAAATATATTCCCTTGAATTATTATATTTGCCATTGTTTGTTGTTATTATAAGTATTAACGGGTTTAAAATAGTGGGCGTAATAACTCAAAAACAATTCGAATGTTCTGCAGCAGACATTACCTCCTATAGTGGACTTCATATACATACATACATTTAAAAAAAAATGTGTAAAATGAATTTAAACTGAAAAATACAAATTTCCTAAAAAGAGAGATATTTAAGCGTACGATTATTAAACAAGAGTTGGGACAGAACACACTAAAACGAAACAAGGAAGGACTAAACATTTATTATATGGTGATACATATGGTGAATTTCATGTCAAGTGACCCAATTAAAAAATCGATTTTTACGAAATTTGCACTAAGGTTAGTACTATTGGATAGTAGATCAGACACAAATTTTCAGCTCTATCGGTCAAGAACTGCCGGACTTAGATGGGGTCAAAGTTGGACATTTTGGTCATACAGGGTTTTATTCCAATGAGTGTAACTTTTCACCTATTGGTCCTAGCAAAAATTGTCCAAAGGAGTTCAGATAGCTATTTCTTCATTCTTTCCAACAATTTTTTTTTAATTTTTTAAAATTAAAAAAAAAGTTTTTTTTTTTTTTTTTTTTTTGTAATGGGAAAGCCTATACAATTTCCTTCAAGGGCTTTATAGTTCCATAATGGGATGCGAGTGGGATATCTATGAAACATTTTTTTTAACTAAAGAATAATTTTTTTTGCACTTAATTTTGCCCAATTTTTTCAAAATGGACGTTTTTGTTCTATTTTTTTTACTCAAAAGAAAGCTTAGACCATTGCCTTTAAGAGTTTTGTGATTACTTAGTTGAACCAAAATGTGCAACTTTGAGCCCCTCTGACTCCGGCAGTTCTTGACTGATAGAGCTGAAAATTTGTGTCTGGCTACTATCTACCTTGGTGCAAATCCAATTCATCCAAATCGGAAGACATCGATTTTTAAAGTGCACACGAAATTCCCCATATACATACATACATAAGTACGTGCATACATACATATGTATGTATATATATCTCTTAGAACATGAGTTTAATGAGCTATAAAGTTTATGTTACAATTAAAAAGTTCTGCCTCCCTTATGTCTTTCTAACCATAAATTGGACCAAAACACATACTCACACACTCATACTTAGTGATGGTAGATGGACGAGTTGGGTTACACTTTTATTATATAAAAATTTTAATAAGTGGTTTAGAAACCCAGCAAAACTTGTACTTACTCAGCGACTACTTCATAGCATTTAAATTATTTTTAAATACTCAAATAATGACTAAAATAAAACAATATTTCTGTATCAAAACCATTAGTTGACGCGCAGTAAAATAGCTTCAGAGTGCGAAAACATGGGAGTACGGCGGCGGACTAACAAACAGAAGATAGTTCGTATTCTTGTCGGCAATTTTTTTTTCGTAAAACAAAACAAACTAACCAACTACCCATTTGAAAGCTAACGTGGTAATGACTTATTTTACTCCCTATTTGTAAGAGAGCATGGTAAGTGCTAAATAGCTTCTAAGGACATCGTGGTGTTAAAATAATAAGTTAAAACTAATTGCTGCAGCTTTAACAAAATTATTTTAAAAGGTATTACTATGACGTTTCCAAACAAAAATATATATTTTTATATTCCAAAATTCTTTTTAAGAAACTTAAAAGTAATTTAATATTTTAAGTATTAATACCGATTTAAAGGTCAAAAAACAACATAAATCTATATAATGGAAAAAAAACCGTTAAAAAAAATTTTTACATAAATGTCAACTACAGATTTCCCTTTCTAAGCAAACATTTCTTGAAATTTCTACTCTATTAAATACATATAGGGAGTTTATATAGCTTAACTGCAATTCAGCATGTCATTTAAAAATAGTAAAAACTACATATTGGCATTCGTATTTAGTTAAAAGCAAAAGAATCAAATATCAAATGACACATGCAATATTTGTGCCGTATTAACGTGGAAAAGAGAGACAGACGACGAATAAATAAAACACATCGCAGAAAAAAAGTCACCATTTTTTATTACAAGCTATGTTTCCGGCGGAAAACATCACAAAATGTAACTGTATTTTTGACTTTATCAGTATTTATGAGAAAATATTAAGAGAAAATAAAAAGAAAAAATATTAAAAACATGCAAAACAAACACTCAAATACATATATACGTACAAATGAAAAATATTTACAGAATGTTGCTTCTTCAAGTTTTTTTTTTTTTGTCATATATTCCTAGATTTTAAATTCTCATTGTGTTATTTGAATGAAACAAGAATTCAATGAATATATGGATGAATGTGAGTGATTATAAAGTAGGGTGGTTCACTGTAAGAATTCATAGAAAAAGTGAAAGTGCAAAAGGAAAGTTTGTTACACTTACGAGTATGCAATTGTTCAGAACTGTCAGTTAAGACATAAACTTTCATTTTAGTTTTTGTGGGTGCCAACTTAATATATAATGGTTTATTTTAAATTTGCATATTCATATTTAGCAACACATCTACATATTTGCATAGACATATATACATATATATGTATTAATGTATATACATATGTATGTATTTATGTATATACATATGTACGTGCAAATATACATACAAATTTTTTTCTGATTTTCAAAAACACTCAATGAATTTTGAATATGTCAGATTCATAGCTTAGAATTCGAAAAACAATGCTGAGAAAGTGATGGTATGAGGATATAATATGTAACATATTCTAAAGATCTGAAATAGGCCTAGAGTTACCGTATGCTATAAATATGAATAATACTGCATCAGGTCTCTATCGATGCGTATTAATGTACTGAACACGAGAAAAATAAAATATATATTTTCCGGAATGATCTTCAGTCCCCTATCAGCAATTGAGTATCCTGACCTTAGTATAATATAAAAAATAATTTAATACAAAAATAAATATTTCAAATTTTTTTTGAAATGGGACTTAAAAATTACACAATTTTGAGCTGATTACGGCAAAAATAATTTAATTTTTTTTTTTTAATATTTTTAGCCCCTAATGATTCTTAGTGGCTTTTTATCGATTTATCAGTGTCGAAATTATCATATTTTTTAGATTATTAGTCAAATATTTAAAACTTATTTTGGCATTTGATATGGGACCCATGACATGAGGGAGGGCATCAGGGAAAATGAAATATCTGATAAATGCGCAACCAAAGGAATATTCACACTACCTTGGTGACCTTATCGAAATTGATAGATGACTGGGCTTTGAGTGAGACGAAACTCAGGTGGTCAAACATCATCACTTGTAGAATTTCCAGACTGCACTGGCCCATTAGAAGGACCGGCAGATTCTTACGGGGACCACAGGAACTACATAGTCAACGAAATTAGGGATATAAACCATTCTTCCTTATGTATAAAGTGTCAATGTAGGGGAATTGTAATTCTAAGGGTACCACAATGGGCCACAAGGCCTTCGAGTGAACTCGCTCACTTATTTTGGAATTTATATGCCTCTTTTAATGCACTAAAAGTCGTTTTTCGG